GGGGTGTGTGCTGGGCGTGCGGGGTGTGTGGGGGGAGCGTATATCCTCTTCTCGGACCCTGGGCGTCCGTGGGGTGGGTGTGTGTGTGTGTGTGGGAGCGTATATCCTCCCCTGGGCGTGCGTGGGGGGGGGGAGAGCGTATATCCTCCCCTCGGACTCTGGGCGTGCGTGGGGGAGGGGGGGAAGAGCGTATAACCTCCCCATGTCACCTGGGCGTGCGGGGGGGGAGGGAGGGAACGTATAACCTCTTATCTGATCGGGGGGAGCGTACATCCTCACTCCTCTCCGGTCTCTGTGCACGTGTGTGTGGGGAAGCGTACATCCCTCCCGGCCCGCGTAGCGTCCATTCCCCCGACCTATGTGCGTTGGGGAGGGGGGAGTTTGGTAGCCTAAACCCACTCCTGATCCCTCTGTGCATGTGCCCGGGGGGCGGGGAGCGTACATCCCTCCCCCGCCCGCCTCTCTACATGTGCAGGTGGGTAGCATACGTCCCCCGCCCCTCTGTGCGTGTGGGGAGAGAGTAGCCTACACACATCACTGGCTCCTCTGTGCGGGGAAGGTTGGTAGTCGACACACCCCACGTCTTACTCCTCTGGGTGTGGGGGTAGCTTACAGCCCGTTTGACTTCTCTGTATGGGGTGGGAACCGACACTACCTGTGTTTGCATCATGCTCATCTGGAGCATGCTGTTTCGCTCTTGCTGTGCAAAAACTATGGTGAAATAGGGGAATGGGTGTTGTTTGCAAAACCAAAGGATCTATCCTAATGGGTAGTTTAGTGTGTTTGTGTTCCAAGAGGGTAGCTTGGGAGGTGTTAAACTCTTAGGTTGACAGCAGTTGAGACAATGAAAATAGTAAACATTTATGGGTAAAACTTCTTTTAGGTTTAGCCAGGAAATATTTATTAGGACTTCAAGAATACTGAGATAAGAATGTTGGAGTTGAGACCTAGTGTTGCTTTATCACTGGTTTCCCTGGATGTGTTTTTTTTTTATAAGAACTTGTTTAGTGTATCCCATAAACCAGATATTTCTAAAAACACAGTATGTTGCTGTCCCTCTGAGGCAACCCAAATTTGTCATCTTGATTCTATCACATTTACAGAAGTCTCAAAAGATGCCTATAGGGTTACCATTTTCAGTTCCTTAAAATTGTCTTGTGGCATTTTTTCTTATTTATATGTAAAATATATATCAAATTACTTTGTGAGGTACATTTTTTGATTTATCAAATGCTTTCTTACTTGATTAGAAGGGGAAAGACTTGAGATGCCAGTCCAAGGGTTATTAGCAAACTCATGAAAGTAAAAGGGAAACCAATAGTACGGACTTTGTTCTGTTCCTGGATTCTCTTAAAAGATTAGGAGTAGCGTTTACTCAAGCATTGTAAGTGGTGTCACTTGCAGACTACACATAGCACTAGCAGTAGTAGAGAAATTTTTAAAAATGTAATTATGTAGGATTAAAAACTGCTTTATTATTGACTCTTCTTGTTAACTTTGCTTCTTGAGCCGAGAATAGATTATGTCCATTTACAGATTGTCAAATGCACCATAATCCATTTTTAATCCAATATACTGTTCAATGTGATGTGATTCCTAATTTAATCATAAATATGTGATTAAATACATGATGCCTTGGTTCAAATACAATTTAGTTTGATCTTTACAATAAGAGTAGAGATTTGTGTGTGTTTGTTTTTTTAGGTGGTTGTCCTTACATTGCCTTGCTATTTTTCCTCTGGACTCTGGTAGCTTGAAGGGACACGTGTCACCTCAACTGATTTTTCCAATTTATTAGAAGTGGCTTTGGATACTACACCTGTCCCTATATCCTCCTGCCAAGTTACGTAGTCTCATGCTTTCTCTTTTTTGGTCCATATTTTTTTCTCTTGTAAAGAGATCCAAAGGCTGTATCTATACTAGCAAAATTCAGACCCATAACCTTCTTGCAGTGGTGGAAGCTCCACTTGCAGGAAGGGCTCAGACATTTTACCACCTGTTCTTAGGGCCTGCCTATACTGGGGATACTTGCACTGATACAAATCCCCAGCATAGATGTTTCAAACCAGGGTAGGCCTACCAGTGCAAGTCCCTTATTACACTGATGCAATTCATCTGCACTGCGAGCTTGGGTTGGACTAGGTGACATGATGACAAACACTAGAGATCTGTCTATGGCAATATTTTCTACTGTTGCTACCAACAACAGACCTACACCAGTGATGAATAAGGTATCTGGTACTTTTCTTACTAGCATTGATGAGAGCAAACAAACAGGCTATACAGGGGAAATTGTGAAACTGATTATACACAAAGGGCTATCAGATATGCAAAGTAATCAAGCTTGTAAATTTGAGAATATTTTTCTCTAATGTCTCAACTATAGTCATCTTGATGTTACTTGCAATAAGGTAACAAAATCTTCAAAGGGAGTTATTATTTGATGTTATTAAGTTGATGGAGTTTCTTTAAAGTACTGAGGCCAATTCTGCTCCCCCATAAGCTTACCTGTCCCATTGAAGTGAATGAGCAAAATTCTGTGTTCAGTTACACTGGTGTAAATATGACATGACTTCATTGAAGTCAGTAAAGTTGTTGCATATTTACAGTTGTTAAACTGAGCAGAACTTGAGCTAATTAGTTGCATTCTTGAGTGATAGGACAGAATTGGGCCAATTGTTATGAATGCTGATGTTGACAACTGTAAGCTTTGAAATAATCTTTATATTGAGATTGCTTTCTTCTGGCAGTTCAGTTTGTCTGTGCTCCCACCTTGAGTCTAAGGGGCTGTGACTGTCTCATGAAATAATGAGGAAGGAAAGGATATAGTTTCTGTATCCCTTTATTTCTGGTTTTCCTAGAACAAATTTTTAGAGGCTGATAGAGAAAAATAAACACCCCGACTTCTTTATTTTCCTTCCTATGTACCTTTCACTTGCACATAAGCTTTTTTGATTCCTGAATGTTAAATTGTGTCCAGCTCAGTGCTATGAGGTACTTGTGCCAAGTTCCCCCCTCCCCCCCCCACCTCTGGGGTGCCACCTGATGTACTGGGGTGTCACTGAGCTTGCCTGACCCACTAGCCTGGGTTCCCTTTACACTGTGCTGCTGTGACAGGCTCTCAAGCCCCCTTCCAGCACACACACAGGTGGGGACACACCCAGCTGCAATTTTACACAGATGCTGAGATCAGCTCTGCATGGGAAAGCTCAGCTAAGGAACTGCCCAGCACTCAAGTGCACGTGCCCTCTGGAGTGTAAACCCAAAATTCATCATCTTGCGCTGCACAGAGAACTGTACAGCGTCAGCTCATAAAATTCGCTCCCTCCCTCAATGTGGAGGCAGATATGCACAGCTTTTTGCCCCCCAGTTATGAATTCCACAAACTAGTTTTAGAGAGAATTAAAACAACTTTATTAACTACAAAACATAGATGTTAAGTGATTATAAGGGTTAGCAAACAGATCAAAGCAGATTACCCAGCACATAAAACCAAAAACACAATATAAGTTTAAGATACTACAGAAACTGGTTTCTCACCCTAAATGTTGTTTTAGGCAGGTTGCAGAGGTTCTTGAAGGCAAGTTGCTCTTGCTTGCAGCTTAAAACTCCAGGTATTTCTTTCACAGGCCAGACACATTTTCCAGCCAGGACTCAGTTCTTGGATGTTCACAGCAGTCATCCTGGATGCGGATTCAGTGAAGAACAACCACTGATCATATCACTCCCTTGCCCTAAATAGGTTTTACATATGGTGAGAATCCTTTGTTTTCCAGTGTGGTTCCTTCTCCTTCCCCCCCCCCCCCACCTACTACTACGT